ACGCAGCATTCAGAAGTTGTAGTGACTCAGACGGTATCTTCAGCGGTATGTGTCCCATCTGCTGCCGCCAGCAGCAAAAGGGGAAGGCGAAAGCGAACGACATCGTCCGATGGTATAGCGTCGACCTCGGGTCGGGGCGAACGTGTCAGGCGTGGTTAACGGACGAGCGGGATTTATAGTATGGACGGTCGTGACGCCGTGCTCTGACTGAAATAACAGCGAGACATGGCGCGATGGCGAAAGTACAATAGTGGTGGAAGTCTTGAAAGCTGGGAAAGCAGGACTCTAAAGTGGCGAATGGTTAAGCGGATAAGGCAGGCAGCTGGGCTGGAAGTCCAGACGAGGTTTGAGCAGACGCGCTTCGAGTGGCGTTTCGACAAGCTAGGGCGTCCCTAAGATGCGAAGCAAGCGGAAGACCTTTCGTCCGAGCCTTGGGATCGCCACGGACGACGTAAAGACCGGCGAGCGAGAGTGAAGATTGCTCAGTAAATTTGAATAAATGCATCACTTCACAGCGCCAAGGGAGGGTAGGCGGAAAATGGGGACGAGAGCGGGTAGGATGGACGGGAAAGTACAGAGAACGGTGGTTGTATTGAATGACTTTTGAAAATAAATGTCCTATATCTGTTTAGCATGCCATAAAGGCCACGCTATCTTTAACACCCTGTACTCGACGTGGGATGTCAGCGAGAAGCATATAAGAAACAGGCCGTGTCGATCTCGCGCTGGGGGAGCGAATGTGGTGGCTATCTATGTAGCGAGATGGCATAGGGAGGGTGGAGAGTTGAATGACGGCGGGACTTCTGTATGCCGGATGCTAATGAGTGGAATGAGGAGGGTGGACGATAGTCTTAAAGACTGTAAGGTGAACGCCTTAAGTTATCTGTCTAAATTGCTTGCGAGAGAGGAGAGAAAGAGAGAGAGAGGGTGTGTGTTACAATATACAGAACTTTGCGGACACGCGACTTAACACGCATTTCGTGCTGTACGTACTTTAGTTAAACTGTGCGGAGATGTATTTTATATAGGAACCACGGCGATAAATATATTATTTTACACCTCACTCTAACTTTTATATAGACCTCGCTGACGCTGATATCGCCATTACCGTTCAGCGTAGTGTCTCAACGCTTAGCCGTGCTATTCAGCACTGTACACCTCTCAAGACTAGTTAATCTCGCCTACCGCTCTTGCTTTCAGACATTTCTCTACATGAGCTCACCCCTTCTCTCTCCCCAATCTTAGTGACGCACTCGAGGACGGCGGCTCATGAAAAGCGGGGACTCTAGCGAGGACTCTAGTAAAGGCTGCGGAGCCGAGGTTGGTGGTGGCGCGAATCATTCGAGGGTTGGCTACTATAGCACCTAGACGACATTGGCGAAGGCCAGGATGTCGCCGCCATCGCCGCTAGATGTCGGGATGGTATAGTCTGTCTAATGGGTAGATGCGTCGAAACGTCGGTCGGTAGGTACAATGGAGTAAATAAGGTTAAAGCAGGTCCACGATTATACCCTTCAGCTACCCTGACTTCTTGTCTTTCCGTTCTACTCTTCCCTCTAGACCACTCACTCCCATCGTGGACAGGCGAGACCTGGAGAAGCACGCGCTCCTAGGGCTCACTATGAGACCACCACGTCCCCTTCTCCATACTTTCACGAGCACCGAGCGCGCGTATCTGGACCGCACGCTGGACGACATTAACCACGCCGCCGACTACCACGCCCTCTACACCGTGTCGCAGGAGCTCAGGGAGAAGCTCGAAGAACAGATCATGCACGAGGAAGTCGCCGACGTCTATAGGGTCGTCGCGGAGGTGGAAGGTGTCTTTAGGATCTGTGCGCGAGCGCGTCCACACCCGCCGACCGGGTCGGCCCTTCCTTTAGCCTAAGCGACATCGAGCCCCAAGAGCGTGGATCCCTAGACGAGTTGGGCCCCCCTGAGGCACATACGGCTGGAGAGAGATTCGCTGACACAGACTGTAGAGCCTGCCCAATCGAACGTCGACCACTAGGAGCACGCCGCGCGAGCCTCCGAGGGACGAGAACCTGAGCCGACGCGACGGGGAGGCGGAGCGTCGCGCGCCGCGCCGTTTGAAGAAGAAGATGTGTTGATACAGGCGGGGTTCGTGCGGGACAGATTACAGAACGCGTTGCGGCACTGGAAGAACGCCGTCATACCGGAATTACATCTCTCGAACCGCGATACAAGTTGGCAAATTTACGTGAAGAGTAGAGCAGGCGTCTGGGACTGCGTGTCGGCCTTCCTACACCGCTTCGCAGGCTAGGAGGGTCGTCTATACTGCTAGAATGACGCCGACGGATCGATGCTTCCTTGCGATACCTAACACCCTTACTAGCCAGCCGCCCGCGACACATCTGAAGACCGAGTTTCCGACGCCGCCCACGCAGGATTGCACGTCGGCAGGCGGCCAGACGTCACTAGGGTCGATGACTGTTGAAAGTAATCATCCGAGCATATTTGGTGTGCGACCTTTACAGGACCGACGCCGGTTATAGAACTCACGCCTTTTCAGGCTTGGCGCTCGAGAGAGCGAACGATCCCGACCCTGATCCACCTATACGCCCGCAAGCAACTCAGAAAGTGCATCCAGCGGGGTTAAGGTCCCGCAATGCAATCGCCATCTGGCTTCGGAGAAGGGGCACCGTGGTCTGCGAGGAAGGTGGCATCTGCTCGACATCCACTACTTCCACGGTGACCATCCTTACCTGGACTTCCGGTTATAGATAGCAAGGGTCTGGCGGGCAAATGAGACGCGACTTGAAGGAAATCGTGGGGACAGAACCGCGGACTAGCGAGGACGAGCGTCGTCGATCTGGTTCACAACTAGCCCGGACGGCGAGGAATGGAGCTTAGCACTACTGGAATCTTGGATGTATTGGTGCCTGGTGAATACTAGGAGTAATAGGAACAAGTGAGGATCAGAGCCGGACGAGTTCTACACGTCGTTGTAGCCGCGATTCGGGGCGATCTAAACCTCCTCTTGTAGCCGGGTGCGTCGCTGATTGTTAGACAAGCACCCTTAGTCGATAGGTGACGCCTCGTTGCCACGTTCATCGCGACTACCCACCCGCGCCTCTTTTCTCGGGACCGTGTTGGCTCGGTCGTTGTGGTATTGTGCTTCGTCGACGCGCCGGGACACGGATCACTGCCGGGCAGGAACGGGACGTCGGCTCGACCGATTTCCAGAGCCGACGTAGACTCTAAGGAGATGAAATAGCGGGACGATGGCGAGGATAAGAAGGACAACGTCGACATCACGACAGACGGTAGGGCTGGTGTAGAGCTGTATAGCGCCGTACGCTATCCGCAGATGCTCCTAGTGCACCTGTAGCTACGACCACGCCGCGAGGCCTCGAGAACCTGTGTAGTTGCCCAAGACATGAGTAGCTCTGTTGACGGCACCGACGGCTTCGGAGGTGGCCGGTCCTACGCTGTGTGCGACGCGGGCCATAGTGTCGAGAGCCGGCACCAGGATTGTCTACGTGGCGAACATCGACAGATCAGCACGTCGAACAACACGGTGACGCACGGTAATCGGGTCTCTACTCACCTAGTCAAATGTAGATCTGATGCCGGTGGAGCGCGTATACAGCGACGACCAGCGGACGCGACCGTCGGCGCCCGTGGTGAGAGGGATATCGGCCATCTATGCCGTCTGGGGATTAGCAGACTTCTCACTCGGGCTCGCCGACCGCGATGCTTCTCACCGTCTACAACTCACTGAACAACGCTAGAAACCCCACCGACAAGATCCTAATGTAGAAAGCGAGGCGTAGAGACATTGTAATGCCCGGTGCGCTCGTGCTCGGTCACTTGGAGGGATGAACTAAGAGAAACGACCGCGAGATGGACGGTGAAGTCAGGGAGAGATATCCTAGTTTCCGTAGGCTCGTAGAAGAGAGGAGAAAGAGTAGAGAGCGACGGACCTTTTCAATGATCGTGGGCAGCGAGGATGGCGTTCGGCATTAAAGCGTCGTCGATCTCCTTCTGCTGTAGACATCGTGGGCAGGCCACGGTCGGTGAAGGTCCAGCCACCAGAGGGCCTTCTGATATTCCGGGATGCCACCGACGAGACGCGCAACTAGCCGAGCTGCTGCTTAAGAGCGTCGGTACTGCTTCCCACTCACCGACGGTGGCTCCAGCTGGGCTGTGTAACCTGTTGGGACGTCCCTACACATCGTCAAAGGACCCACGCAGCTTTCTTCACCTCTCACCTCCAACACCCCACGGAAGGATACTTGCGTTGGCGTGGACGAAAGGATAAGATTGGCACTTACACCGGCTTCATTAGTGCCTACCGCTCCCCAGCTGGATCGAAGAGATGTTGGGTGTGATTGCCTGAGTGCTCTCTATAGCTAGCAGTCATTCCAGTCCCTGCACTTGGTGTTGTTGTCTTTGTCAAAACGCACAAATCACCACTAGCTATTACTCAACTCACCGCAAATTGCCGCTCGACCCACCACCTGCTGCCGCTCCAGCTCACCACCGATTGCCGGGGCGACGCAGGCCTTCCCGCCACCGCCGCCTAGTAGACGTCCCAACCCGCCGGATAGAAGCCTTAGGCGCGATCGCACCACGAGGCTGAAAAGCCACCGCCAGCGGTATCCGCCGTGAACCCTGCGCCTACCCGGGCAGACTTCAGGCGGGACCTTAGACCATTCGTTTGACTACCTCTGCTGGGTCCTTTATAGGCAAGATGGATTAGCGTCCCGGCCCCCAGCAGGCGTCGATCTATACACCCCCGTCCAGAGTAGGGCGTGGTGGGACCGGGGCAGTAAACGCTATCAGAAGGAACGTCTGAAGCTCAGATGGTGAGCTGGCTTGATGTAAGTCCCGCCTTTACACTCTCGTTCTATATCGCCTCCATCCCGTGTAGGCGAGAAGTTGAACACTGGCAGTCCAGCGCTATAGGTCGTCACCCTAAACCGTGTCGAGACCAGCACCACGCCTGCGTATTCCTCCATTCCGCCGTGCCTAACATGGACGTCCGGGAACGCGAAGAGCTTGCTACCATCTTAGACAGCGTCGACACGCTTAATGCCGCGCAGGTAGACGCCCCTAAAGTATACATGCCAATGGTGGTTTGCGGCGAGCAGTCCTACGGCAAGAGCTCGACCCTAGGCAGGATCGCCGGCGTGGCGTATCCGACGTCCCAGAAGCTGTGTACCAGATTCCCCGTCAAGACCATCCTGAGACGTGGCGCGCAGCGGGCGGAAGTATTAATTCGACCTGATCCACGCCGTCCGAAGGACGAGAGGGAGCGGCTGGAAAAGTTCTTCGTGTTAGACGTGAATACCCACGACCTGGATACGGTGTACGCGAGTGCGTAGGCGGAAATGGGCATCCTCGAAAAGGGATTCTCTATAGACGAGCTGTAGTTGCGCATTACCGCCCCTGACTCCGTGATCCTCACCCTCGTCGATCTACCTAGCATGTTCAAGAACGAGAGTAGACACTAGTCTCCGGAAGATCGAAAATTGGTCGAGGACATGACGACGGAGTACATTAAGCAGCCCAACACCATCATCCTGGCTGTCCTCTCCGCCAGGAACGACTACGTGAACCAGGATACGCTGGCGTTTCTACGCTAGACGACCGGCGAGGAGACGAAAGCGATAGCGGCTATCATCACCAAACCCGACTCGACGGAAGGGCCCGCCGCGACCGAGGCGTAGGTGGAGGTCCTCTAGGAATAGCTGTGCAAGCTCGAGCACGGCTACTTCGTCGTTAAGAACCCGGGCGTCGGCCACGGTCTCACGGACACGGAATTATGCGACAACGCGGAACGGGACTTCCTGACCACCTCGGCCTGGAAGGAGGTGGAGGCGACGAGGAGAGGCATCCGGAGCGTTAGACTAGGACTGGAGCGCATTCTATACGGTTAGGCCATGCGGCAGCTCGACGCTGTCCTGCAGGTCGCGGAGTAGGCCCTCGCCGCCGCACAGTCCACGGTCTCGCGGTTCGACGCGGCGGGCACGAGGAAGATTTTGGACGAGTTGCGGTGGCACGCGGCCTAACTCACCACCCTAGTGAAGTCGTCGCAACAGCCGTCGCTCGACTTTATCATCAAGTCCTTCGGCGTCTCCATCTAGAACCGCCTTCTCAACTTCGCCCCTCCCAGCTCGGATCCCGACACCACCGACCGCTTCGCCATCCTCTCGGCAGAGATTGAAGCGCGGATGTGCGTGCACGGAGAACCCGCCGTCTGGGAATTTGACCGCGACGTCCTGTCCGACATGCTGCTCCAGCAGATAGCGCCGTGGAGGGAGAAGGTCGACGCCTTCCTCGACGAGGCGGTGCGCAGCTACGGTACATGGGTTCGCACCCAGTTCGCCGCCCGCCTAAGGCGCGTCGGCCACGAGGAGAAGCTCGAAGCCATAGCCGCGGCGTGGCTGACGCCTAACCTCGCATGCTTGCGAGAGAGGCTGCAAGCCCGGGCCGACGACTACCTCAAGGCCAAGGGCACGCATTACATCGTCGTGGACGACGTCGTCAACGCGTTGAGGCCCGAGGCCCGCGCACAGGCCAGCTTCGAGCACCGAGACGTCATCGACGCGATGAACTGTTTGACCCTTGAGGCGAACACGGTCAAACAGGCCATTAGGTCCGCCATCATCGACACCAAGCGCTCGACCATTTAGGAGATGGTGACGTGCTTCGAGGCACAGCTAGAGGTAAGCTCGTGGCCCCACCCCTCAAGTTTTAGCCGCTGACGGAGGCACTAGAACGAGGCTAAGAAGGTGATCGACGGCTTCGACATCTCTACCCTGACCAACTACTTCGGCAAACAGCTCGAGTCCGTCTTCCCGGGGAACATATACGCCGATGTGTCCGAGTCGCAGCTGCGGACCGTGGCAGGGTGCGAGTCCGCCACCGACGACGTCGATCCGACCGTCTAGAGACGTATCGACGTCATCCACGACGTGATTTCAAAGCTCAGATCCGTCTAGAAAGCTCGATCATCGACCGGTGAGTGTGCTTCTCACCTATGCGACTTACCGTGATACGCGAGCCACGGGCGGTTGACATATATAGCCAGGAAACACGACCTAGACACTGGGATAGGCGGGGCGCCCATCGGTGACGCCAATCAGCGACCCACGAAGAGGCTAAGACTGTGATGGGCGGGGAGACGGCGGCGAGGGCGCCTACGAGAGCTCTAGCAAGTCGGGGAGCAAGGCAAGAAGACGCGGCGGGGACTCGTCGCGGCGTCGTGGATATACAGCTCGGGCATACTTCGACAATACACAGAAGATGTCCTCCGACATCAGGGCGCACGTTGCGAAGAGGTTTACGGGTAAAGGAAGGTGTCGCCGCTTGTACGTTACATTACTTTACGCTAGGTTTCAGTTGACGGTTTTATGGTGGAATAATAGCCTCGAGACTCATACGGTCCCGCTCTCCTACTAAGGATTATACCTCCCTCCCGCCGTAGAGTCAGAGACCAGCTGTAACTGTTCAAGTTCTGTAATATCACTCGCGACTCGCTGCCCCCTCTCTTCATCTAGATTACGGTGACCGACGTGACGCATCTTTACATCAATAACCTCATCTTGTAAAGAATAGCTCCATTCTTTTAGATTGTATGGATAGGCGCGTTCCCATTCGAATCGCCGAGTTGAATGTGGCGCTGTTGAATCGGCACCATCCTAGGGCTGCATTCACGGTAATGGAATTAATTGAGTAGATGTCAGCGCTGCTCCTTTCGACTAACCGGTAAGGGTCAGGTCTCCAGTCACAATGCTCGAGTAGGGGTATGGGGGATACGACACAGGGGCGAGGTATAGCAGACGGCTAGGTGTGACAAGATACTCAAAGGTGGGTCTGAGTAGATGACATGAGTTGGCTACGAAAGAGTGTAACTAGACTGTCTGACAATGAGCGTATATATA